GAGTATAGGAATGCAATAGATTTAGACAATGCATGCAGACGTATAGTAATATATTTTATAAACCAAACCTCGGCTTGCCCACCATCCACCTTTTCTCCCTTCGTAATCGGAATAAGCCAAAACCCCGGATTACTGGAGTAGATCATCAAGGCATAATCCTGGCCTAAGAAGTATGTACAATACAGTATAATCTTTCCTACTGCCCAGATATTCTTTACACTCCCCTCATTTCTATATCACCATAAGCGAAGGCCAAGACCAAACAAGGCGTGATGCCTAGCTGCATCGGCAAATACTCATAGCCGACCCCCGAAGGAAGGGATTACGGTCACCGACGCCATCGGGTGCGTACATGCCTAAGTACATACCTAGGTAGGTATTGAAGCCATAGCATGGGATACCTAGGTATTGATTATAATGAGAATAAATACATAATTAAACCACATGATACCAAAAATAGAAAAAAACAGAAAAGAGAAAAAAAAGAAAAACAAGTCCGGGATTGCTACTAATAGATTACCACAGTTTACGTCGCTTCGTTCTAGATCCAAGGCAGTCGAACCTCTTCCTTTTCCGATGATCAGGTCGGCCAAAAACAGCATTGAGGCCTTGCTGCAATACGAGTTTCTCTATCACAAACGGCGACCCACTAATATTACACGGTTCGGAGGAGTTTTGCTCTTGCTGTAGGGATATTACAAATCGACCCTCGGTGTTTAAGTCGACCCGTTTTCGAAAATTGCCATCGCTCCCGAGGCAAGAGTTATCAATTGTAGCCACCACATTCCCATCTATCCATAGCCGGGCTGACTGGCTCGAAAGCCGGTCAAATAATTCGCGGAATGCTGGGTCGTTACGCCGCAGAGAACATACTACGTGGCCGGTCCCTACGTACCTCCCCCCGACGCGTTCCGGGACGGCGTCCAGCTCGAAGTAGAAGAGCGAGGCTATGAAGCATCTCGCTATCGTGTCAATCGTTTGTGAGAGCGTCTTGTCATCCTGCACTTTGGCTTCTATCTCTGGGATGCTGCCCGGATCATCCAGCCTCGGCTCGTCGCCGTCGAATTGGATGTTGAGCCGGTGGTATCGAGGGTAGGCCCGGAAGGCCTCACTTACCTTCTTATCTCGCATCTTCTCCCAGAACAGCCGGCATAGCCTCGGGAATGCGCCATTCTTCCAGACGTTGCGTGAAGCGGTGGTGGGAAAGTTGCTGGTCGGCTCCGGCTCCCCAGTACCCAGAGACACGACAAAGTCAGGCTCTTCGACCAGGGGAAATAAGGCGGCCGCCTCGGACAGCGCTGAAATCAGCGGGTTGTTCTCGAGCGGACCAGCATCTTGAAAGGTGCCGGCGCCATCGACATGTTTCGGCGAGAAATACCTGGTACAGGAAATGCGCATCAGAAATTGGCGTACCTTAGGTACCTACCTAGGTAGGTAAACATAGTAAAGTGTTCCTCATACCCTGGCGCAGCAGACGCCGCTCTCGCGCTAGGCTTCGTTAACCAGTTGCTCAATGTCGACCGCGCACCCATTTCCAACTTCTTTACTTACATTTCCCATAAGAGCATCTTCCCACTTGAATTCATGACGTGGTCTACGGCCTACGTTAGCTACGACTCCGCGTATCGAGCATTTATTTGTTATACCTTGGCCTTTCTTGCGCTCGCCTACGCCATTATAGTTCGTAAAGAGGCGACACGACGGCTTCGTGTCGACGGTCGCTACGGGCAGCGCGACCCGAGTCCCCGTGCTGGTCGCGTGGGAATAGTCCAAGATGCCCCTCTCGGCGCCAAACACCTGCTTTAGTGCGTTTTCAATATGGTGGGACGGATATAATCCGTCAGCCAGGTAGGATAGGAGAAGTTCGATGGAGCGAACGATAGTTGGAAGAGGATGAAACGCACCGGCGAAGGAGACGATGGAACGTCTCACAAAGCGAGGCAGGAGTGAAACGTTTGTGGTCCCACGACGTTGGAACGTCGTCTTGGCCAGCAGCTTGAATCTTTCCGTGGACTGTTCCACGGGAGAGCCGTTCAAGAAAAGATCGGCGACAATGAGGCCCCCTGGGGAGAGTTAATGTCAAAAAATGGCAAGGTCGGTCGATACGTACCTGAACTCACTCCCAGAGCGACCTTGATGAATCTTTGGAGCGGGATAGGCAATCCGATACGAGCGTTGATCCTTTCCAAGAATTTAAGCGCTGCGATGCCACGGACACCTCCGCCGTCGATACAGAGAACGCCAGCTCCCGCAGTAGGCGGGTGCGTCCGGATGACTACCGGTCTCGGCATCGCCGTTTGGCATAGGAAACATTGTGTCACTGTATAGACCCAGGGATCGTCTACATCAGGTTCGCCAAATACTACCGCGCAGTTTTCGCACACGACGTGTCCGCACTCTAGGCGAAACTGAGGGCTGCGCCGGAGACACGAAAGACAAGTGCTGCTACTTTTTACACTACGCCATCGTTCTTGGTGGTGGCGGAGGTTGTTGCGATGTATAGTAGCCGAGGGGAGTTTCCCTTGACTAGATACTCTAGCAAACTCTTCAAAATTCTTTCTTACCATAGCAACCAACCCGCTTCGAAGAAGGAAATCTTTAGATTGATCAAAGCATATTACCCTGCCTGCGCTTACCTTGCTTAGTATATCCTCATATAAAACCTGGAATACCGTACTAGGAGGGAAGACTATTACATTAGATTAAACTTGTAACTTGGGTGTGCACATGCCCCGATGCGGGACGGGACGATAATAACGTACAGGGAGCATCGGGTGGGTAGTTGTCCATGAGTAGGCTCGAAGCGATGATGGGCGCTCCGAATTTTGTTAGCTCTTCCGACGTTTTGATCTGGGCCAGGAATGTGGATATATGCTGCTCTAGATTGTCTGCTACCGGATTGTGCAATCTGGAGGCCCATACCAAGCTAAACGGCTCGTCGGTGGCATCTGCGAAGTGTTCGATAGCGCTGTTGAGGAAGACGGCGAGATGGGCGGTCGAGAAAAGGAACTGTGCATCTATCCTGCACTGACGTGCTTGGTCTAAGCTGTTCATGAGACGCTCTTTCAAGAGTCTGTGGCGGGCTGAGAGAGAGAGTGGGCCACGCGGAGAGAGCGCAATGATTTCAATGGACAAGAAATGGTCTGAAATCTTCTTCCTTGTCTTCTGCCGCACCAGCCGTAGGAAATTCTTTCGAGCTTGCCGCTCGCCCCTCCCTCCTCCCGGTATTGTCTCAGCTACGACGACGACCCTCGGCTTCGTACCGGTAGAGATCCTCGACTCGTAGGCCTGCTCTAGCCACACAGCAAGATAGCATGCTACCTGCTCCAGCCCGCCCAAGTCCTCGGAAAAGAAACAAAAGACATCTGCAAACGGGTAGAGAAAGCGGGAATAGAGGCCGCTAGCAATCTGCGTCAGATCAGATTGGTGAGGTAACGGTCGGATCGTTCGCCTCGTGAGTTCGTGGCATGGGTCAGTGGGAATTTTCGCATGGAGCGGCTTCGAGGCGTCGCCCTCCGCGATGAGCAGCGGCTCATGGTAGAAAACGCTGGATGAGTCGAGGTGCAAATGAAGTTCGCCAAGGCCCAAGGTGACATTGCGTTTTCCCGCCCTCTTCACACCGAAAAGCTCCCTTAACGCCGCCGTCTTCGTATCGTTCCCAACTACCACAAGGAACCGCGGGTACTCCACATCGTGGTCCGGGATATGATGAAAGACATGCCGGACCCGATTCGAGAGCACGATATCGGTGCTGTGGTCTTGGGGCGAAAGGCCCAGCCAGAAGGTATGGTTGCATTTCTTCATAGTGGTTAATCATTGATTGAATGGATCTAAAAACAACAACAAAAAAAAGAAAAAACAGCCCAAAGGAATGACATTATTTATAACGATGGAAAGCCTATGATATAGTTTACTAGCCGTTCTTGTTCTAGTATCAGGGCGCTGAAATACGCTCCGAGGCCCTAGACAACAATATGGGACATGCTCGAAGGTTGGTGAAGGGCCCGGTTCAAGTTCTCTTAACCGACATTGTAGTGTCACATATTAGGGTTATGCCGAGTTTTGGGATCTGTACTACATTTTAAGGCTGA